ATTGCAAGATCAAAATGTTGTCAGTGGGTTTGAATCTCACAGTATGACTGTGACATTTTGGTTTAAAGATTACTAAAGGTTACTAATAATGTCAGATCAGGTCAGGCTAGACATCAAGCTATCCAATTGCCTGCTATTTGTACATAAAAACCATTAAATGGGTCAAATAGGTTAGCGTGTACCTGCTGATCAACACCCAGGCTGATGTTTGAATTAACTGACTGTGTCATCATAGCCTTTGTATATAATGATTACTTTATTAATTATTAATCCATTATTATATGGCTAATGCCTTAGGGCAAACCATGTACCAACAGTTTTTTCAGGTTTGTTTGCACATTTGTTTAATGCCAAGGTCTATGGCATGGCTTGATGCATTTTTGTTGCATCGTTGAAGAGGGATTGCATCTGATGGATCATTGATATCTGCAGCCATATAAAGGTGATGAAACTAGTGGCAAGATTATCAGCATGGTATTCATAAATGCATTTATTAAATAAGAAGCATTAATGAAAGCATTGCTGCAAGAAATTGATGAAGTAATGCTGGAATATGCCATGTGACCAGCTGGCAGGAGCATCTGTTGGAGATATTCAGACTCTGTTTTAATGCAGGACCTGATACCCTTTGTAAAGCATATTTTTGTGTTTTACTAGGACTTTTCTGCTTATATGCATGCAACTACTCTGTTTATTTTGCACACACTATATATGTGGCAGAGCTTTCATATTTTGGCACCCTTGCAGGACAGTCATGACCAAATGTCTGCTTTCAAGCCCCCAGGTGGCTCTTGTGCCATGCAAAGACTGTCCTGATGCTCATGCCTGGTGAATCAGAGGACTGCAATGGTGGCATGAGTTAAGCAGTGTCCTTATGAGATGCCACCAGACCAAAGGTCCATTTATTGGCAGACCATACCTTTGAAGCCTCCCATCTGGCACTATCTGATACAGTGTTCATCCCTTAGCAGTGTGATGATTCCCCAGTTGCTGCCATCTCTTGGGCTGATGAGGCTGGTCAAGGAAAATTCGACCGAAGTCAGGCTTGAACCATAGACCTTCCACATACATTGGCATGCACTTTAACGAACTGCACCACTGGGGTGGCTTTAACACTTGGTTGGTTGCCAGAGATTTACTGAGTAAGGGCTCCATTAATGATGGATTTTAGCCATCTGCTAGGCCATATGTATTCCTTATGTCATGGTGGGCTGTTGCGATGACACAGCAATGGGTGATATGGGATGTTACATGTGTGGTTTGTAACAGACTGCAGTGTGAAATATTCGTGGCTTTTCTAGTCCTCATTTCTTTAAAGGGAGTGTTCCAAATTTTTATGGGGTTTTGAACTGAAATAGTCATCCTGAAGACCTTTTGGTGCTATTGATAATCTTGCCCTTCCTAAGACCTAAGCCCCTCTAGTTCCTGAGCTATACGCCGCGAAAATTGGGAAAGGTATATTGGAGACAGTATTTCAAAGGTCCCTTGGTATTCATAACATCATAATAACGTCATTTAAATCTTGCCATTTCATAAGCCGTGCAGTGATCAAGGCCAACAAATAGAAATGTCGAGGCGTGTTTTTCTGTACTAGAATATCGCCAGAAGTTGAGAACGTGTGTTTACTTTGTTGTAATATAAATCGCGATGACCTGAGACGCTAAAACGGATCGGGTTGGCAGGGAGGCGTCCACATGCTCCAGATCAAACTTCATGCTTCAGTAATGCTGATATAATGTAATGTCACATTGAGTGTGCAACACAAGACAAGACTGATATAAGATGACCTGACCTGTTGGGTCACGGATGCCCAATCACGAGGTCGTGGTGACCTGACTTGAACCCTGTGAACTCCATACGGTTTATTTTAGCCTTTTGCCATGAAGCACTCCCACTCGTGACATGTCAAATGCTGTCAGGTAAACCTACAAGTTGTGTGCCGTTTACAGCTCCGCTGTCCCAATTCTGACGCTAGTTTCGTGACCTGAGCAGTCACCTTCGAACGCAACTATTTGGAGGCAGTGGAATTTGACTGGCCAATTATTCCATTCATCAACCTTCTTGTGGTGAAATTGACATTACCATGATGCAGAAATTTTATTTCCACCTCTTTCTTTCCCACCTTTTTCCACCTGATTCCCACCCTGTCACATGCTTAAGCGCCGCACGAGCAAATACTGATGTTCCATCAAACCTAGATAAGGATATTGAGAGTGATAAGAGCGGCCAAGTATAGTAATTATGATGATGATCATCATCAGTAGCAGGAGCAGCAGCATCATGATTACCGTGGCCTTGTCGCCAACGATGTGCCGCCCTCCACAGCACCGGCGCTTCGTGAGCGAGGCGAAGGAGCGCGAGCCGGACGTGGTGCTGGTCGGCCGACTCCATCATCTACCACCTGCAGCACTCAAACACGTGGCAGCGCCGCTTCGCGCCGCTGCACGCGCTTAACTTCGGCATAGGCGGCGACCAGACGCAGCACGTGCTCTGGCGCCTCACGCACGGCGAGATGGACAACTTCTGCCCCAAGGTACAGCTAGCGGCGAGGCGGGCACGCTCCTGCGCGCTGGAGAGCGGATGGCGCGTTCTAGCGCGATGTTATGATGCGTGATGAGTGTCTTCTGCAGCAGGGAATTAAAAACAGGTGTCAGACCTGGTTAGAGGGCTTGGACAACTTTTTAAGTGGCAACGTGGTTAGGTTAAAATCCGAGTTTATTTTAGCTTGAGAATATCCTAGTAGACTTCGAAAACGAGCGCCTCGCAGGTTTCAAAGTTTGGAGAAGCACCCGACAATCAGCTCTGACCTGATGATGCTTAGAAGCAACGCTTGTTTTTATCATCGACTGCCCACAACATGGGTCGTCGCTAAGGATGTGTTCCTTTTGTGTTTGGTTTGTTGCATTGCTTGTCTTTGTTAGACTGTTCAGATGCAAATATAGTTATATGCTGTGGACCTGCAGTCATACGAGCCTGAAGTGCGCTTCCTTGAGGCATCGGAGCACGTCAGTGAGTGGACCTCCGGCCTGTGTCCACTTATATCACGTCACTCTCCGAACTTCGTTAAACGGGCGCCGTATTCGATGCTGCAGGTGGTTGTATTGCTGGTGGGCACCAACAACTTCAACTTCTCGCCGGAGCAGATCGCCGACGGCGTCATGGCCAACGTGAACGTCATCCGGAAGCTGCAGCCGCAGGCCTTCGTCATCGTCATGGTAATGCAGCTGCGTTTTCTTTTCTTTGCCGTTGCCCATGAACAGGTAGCCAGGGAGCGCCCCTCGCTCTATCTCAGCTACACAACGAGCCGTACGTTAACACCAGAAAACATAAAATCAAGTCGTAGCACTCCTAGCTAAAAACTAAAAGCAAAATTCAGAAGCACGCAAAGAGGTGGTTTAGATCCGGTACGATTTGTACCAGACAAGGACAAATCATACAGGTGGAGGGTTAAAGAAGATATAGCCAACTTCAGCCAATGACAACCCGCTAGGACCATCCAAATTAGCTACTAGCACTCATTGTCAGTAAAGCCTATCAGTCACACAAGTCAGAGACAACTACCTGGCCATTTTCATGCGGGGTATTGAGCTGGATCTCCAGGGAGCCCACCCAGCTAAACGGAGCTTGTTGCCGAAATAACTCCCGAACCCCGCACCGTGAGTTCAGGTACCCAGTGTACGCACATGGATGTCAGAGCATGCTCATGGGATGTGGAAGAGGGTAAACATGGCGGGGGGGGGGGGGGTTATTTACACGTCAGCAGGGCAAAAAATCAATCGTTTCAATAGCTTTAGGTGTGTTGGTTGCATTAACATTTGTCGACAAAATGTTCCGCCTCTGCCACCATTTCGTCGCCTGCTACCTCTTGGTATGTTACTAGGTAGCATGTGACATTTGCTAGCCTGGTTGAGAATAACTCACTCCGCGTTTTGAGCCGTTTATTTCCTCGGTGATGTGTGTGTGTGTGTGTGTGTGTGTGTGTGTGTGTGTGTGTGTGTGTGTGTGGTGTGTGTGTGTGTGTGTGTGTGTGTGTGTGTGTGTGTGTGTGTGTGGTGTGGTGTGTGTGTGTGTGTGTGTGTGTTGTGTGTGTGTGTGGTGGGTGTGGTGTGTGTGTGTGTGTGGTGTGTGTGTGTGTGTGTGTGGTGTGTGTGTGTGTGTGTGTGTGTGTGTGGTGCGTGCGTGCGTGCGTGCGTGCGTGCGTGCGTGCGTGCGTGCGTGAGTGCGTGCGTGCGTGCGTGCGTGCGTGCGTGCGTGCGTGCGTGCGTGCGTGCGTGCGTGAGTGCGTGCGTGCGTGCGTGCGTGCGTGCGTTGCGTGCGTGCGTGCGTGCGTGCGTGCGTGCGTGCGTGCGTGCGTGCGTGCGTGCGTGCGTGCGTGCGTGCGTGCGTGCGTGCGTGCGTGCGTGCGTGCGTGCGTGCGTGCGTGCGTGCGTGGTGCGTGCGTGCGTGCGTGCGTGCGTGCGTGCGCGTGCGTGCGTGCGTGCGTGCGTGCGTGCGTGCGTGCGTGCGTGCGTGCGTGCGTGCGTGCGTGCGTGTGTGTGTGTGGGGGGCGTGCGTGCGTGCGTGCGTGCGTGCGTGCGCGTGCGTGTGTTGTTCTGCAGACCGGCGTGTAATCGCCGACCTCCGCCACAGGGCCTGCTACCTCGCGGCGAGAAGCCGAACCACCTGCGGGAGCGGAACGCCCAGACTAACGAGCTGCTGGCCGGGCGGCTGGCGTCGCTGGAGCGGACGCAGCTGCTGGCCGACTACAGCGAGCTGGTTTCGGCCGACGGGCAGATCGACCACCAGGACATGGCCGACTATCTGCATCTGACGCCGGAGGTCAGTTCGCAGCCGGTCCCTGATGTGGGACGTCGGTGCACCGCTTGTGTCCCGTGTCGGGGGTAAGTACACCTGTAGCTCACTGTGAGGGTCAGCACATTTAGACAAGTGTCGCGGGTCAGTACGCGGCCTGCGCCCATGCCAGAGGTCAGATGTGGTACGACCGTAGGCCTCCCTGCGGGGGTCAGCGCACTGCATCGAACTTTGTCCCTGCAGCTGACCTGGGAGGTCAGTACAATGTATCTCACATGGGAGGGGAGCGCACCATGTGCGCCGTCCCAGCCCCAATGACCGCAGTAACGGTTTACACCACGGGAGCGCCATTGTATAAAAGACAGAGATCTGCGGGTGTGTCGGCGGGTCTGGCAGCCGCGGGTCTGCCCGGCCCGTCTCCCCGCAGTTGGTCCTCGGCACCAGTCTGGCGCGCCAGAGACCACCTGAAAGGGAGGAGGGCAGGAGGAACTCGTAGCGTTGGATGACACAATGGCTTGCTGCGAGAGTGACGGACACCATCTGATGCATTGGCGAGCTGCGATGTGTGGTAAAGGGCCACAGCAGAGCGCTGCAGTTAACAGCTCTCTACTCTGCTTGACACATCAGTTGCACCCTTCTCACGGTCCAGTCAAGCAGGTGTATGGCTCTGTCGTTGTTTCTGCAAGTGATCCACCTGTCTGACTGCTGCTCTTGTTTGTCACAGGGCTACTCGAAGGTGTTCGAGCCCGTGTACGACCTGATTCTGCAAATTCTGAACGAGAAGGAATGCCTAGACGGCGCCACTGGCGAATAGGCCGCGCGACCGGCGCGTAGATGGCGCCACCGCTGCCCCGTGGCGCGGCTCCCGACCCACCGCCGGCCAGTGGGCGGTTATGTCAGTATTACGTTCTGCTTCTGTGTGACCAGTACGCTCCTATCGACGCCGTTGGCTTCCGCTGCCCCGCTCCTCTGAGTGCAGCGGTAGCGAGGGGGCCATGAGCTACTCAGGAGTCGCTTGGTTCGGTTGTCGGCACGTTTGGTTATGTACTGTGCGGGGTGGTGGCCAGGTTCATGCCACGGCCGCTCTTGTGTTTGGGGCTGCGGAGACGTCCGTTGGGCTCTGCAGGGCTGGTGGGAGGAGGAGGGGGCACCGCGCGAAACCCATCGATTACCTGAGGGGCGAACGCCTTGGAGGACCGTTGGTCACATTCCTCTCGGTTGTTTTTGGCTAGACTTGTTTTGTGGGTGTGTGGTCGGGAAGGTGAACCATATGCACGCCGCTGGTTCCTGGAGTACTTTGTTTTGTTCGCTAGCTGTAAGTGTCATTGCAAACGACTTAGCCTAGTTTGTATTGCGTACGTCTAGAGGGTCACCAATCACCAAGGAGAGACGCCACTTTTCTGGTTGCGTGGTGGGGATGGTTGCTTCCACTTGTCACCAGAAGCGGTGCTGCAATGCTGGAACTGACAATACAAACGCACTGGGTTGGGCCGGTATGCAATTTGCATGGAGCATGGTACACCGTGTGATCCACATCTGTGATTTTTCGTGTGGAGGTGTGGAAACGATTGCCTTTCAGTGGATGTTTCACAAAAGCCTTGCGAACGCTGCCCTTTCGTACTCTACCCTTGGCTGACCCCTTTTCACCGTGTTAGGCTTGCTAACGCTGTCCTATTTTCGGAAGCAGCTCTTGGCTTGCTGGCCATGGAGGCCTCAGCGCCGTGGTCACAGTCTGGGGGAGTCAGCTGAGTTTGGAGGATGGTGTGTGCTTCCGGTGTCATTGATTTTGTTCGCTGTATGTGTCGCGAGAACTCAGAATAAAGGGCATGCTGTTTCCTTGGTGTAAATTTGTGACTGTCGGAGAGCGCGCGTGGGACTGACCTGTCGGCCATCACTACGGTTCTTACTCCTGTTAATGCTGCCAAAAAATATAGTGTAGTTTGCTGCGCCGCGTAAGCGACACTTATGGCGCGATGCCTTTCCTAGGGTACACGGGTGGTCACAATCGCTTGCCCAGCTCGGTGTTTTCCGTGCAAAGGCTGACTTCTTTGTGGTCAGTGTTTGCGATGTTGTTTATTCCACACACGATTTACGGAAGAGGACTTGCTTATTGCGAGGGAGAAACTGCATTTCAAGCAAGACACGTGCTCTTCATTTCACACAAACGCTGCCAGGCAGAACCCTGTAACGACCAGGCTCCATGCTCCATGCAATAGCTCTGGGAGACCGCAGTCGGCGTTCAGCACTTAACGAGCAGCATGGGCTTGAGCTGAGCACGAGTCATCCCATGATGCGTGTGATACGCCCCGGGATAAGCCTGCGATGTCACCCCAGACGCGACCTTTAACACGAAAGCCACGCGCGTCGTATTGCAAGTATCGCGCGCGCAGCACGTGCGCTGAGTTACGTCCCGGGTCTCGCCGTTCTGGGACGGCCGGCGCCGGGAGCTGGCGCTAATGGGATGAAGGCCGGCTCTGAAGATCCTTAACGGTACCTGTGCCTTCCGGCAGCTACACAGTCGCTCAGAGACTGAGCGACCGGACGTGAGGGATGACACAGAGCAGAAACTTCACTGCGGCTGAGCAATCGGACGACAGTTTCAGAGACCGTACGGGTGGCAAATAAAGCGTAAATAGTCACAGCAACAGAGCAACAGTTCAGCACAGTCAGACTGAGTCCCAGAATCCTGGTCCGAACCCTATGTCATCAAAGAGTTCTGCTGCATCCGGCCTCCAGTATCGGGCTCCAGCCGTACGTCACCAGCAGTCATGGATCTGAACACAGCAGTGTCTGCCAGTATTGAACAGCTCAGTACACATAGGCGCCCGTCGACCGCGTAAAGCAGGTATAGTGTTATAAAGCGGACAATGTATCATATAAAGCAGGTACAATGGTGAGCAAATTGTACAATGCTGGAAAGAGGCGTGGCTCATGCAGCACGGCAGCGGCGGGCCCGGGCGACGCACCCATCAGCCGCGGACGTGCGCTGCGGTGTGGCCGGCGCGGCATTCACCTACGCCCTTTTTTTTAGCAACGAATGTAACTTAGCATTACGTACACGCACTGAAGTGGGTTGCTTGTCAGCATGGATGAAGTGGAATACCGGTGTACTGACATTGCAGAATTAACAACGTAGCAATTTAGCTGTGAAAGTAACGGAACTGGTAAGTACTTATCGCCTAGCCCCACTGTGGTAGGTTTCTTCGTAGATTGCAGTGATATGCCTCAAGCATTCTCCACACGGCGTGATGAATAGCGTATGACGCTTGATTACTATTTGAGACGAGGTAAGCGTGCTGCACCCGTCATGACATAGGTACATACGTGTGGTCGGACGTCGGTCGATCTAGCCACCTTGCGGCGAGGATGGAAAGTTGCAAGAGGCTACGCTCCTGGATCATCCCTGTTCAAAGTTCATGGCATATCAGCAACGCGACATGAGTGGGTTCTGCAACGATAAGATGGTTATGCTTGCACTGCGCTCGCGTTGAGTTTGCTCTGCACCATTTCGTCCGCGCGCCATTTTGCACACCACCACATCGCAACGAACAAGGAAAACTTAGGAAAACTGGTCGATATCAACCCAAATGTCCATCAAGCCCTACAGACCTGAAAGATGGCTATAGATGATAGACCTTATCAGACCCTATAGATCTGATACATGACTATAGATGACAGACCCTATCGGACAATATAGACCTGATGCATGACTATAGACCTTATCAGACCCTATAGATCTGATACATAACAATAGAAGACATACCCCATCAGACCCTCTAGACGTGCTTTACAGCGCAATCGTGCACAATGGAGGCAGCCGGGGCCATCAGCAGCCGCACGTGCCGGCCGACGATGGATGTGCCTCAGCCGTGCCTCATGGGTACCCCTCCCCCTTCAGAGGCCCGCCGGGGGTTATGCTCAGGCATGTTGCCGGAGGTCCACTGCGCACCAGCATCGTACGCCTCCGTACGGGTGAACTATACGGATGGTACGAATCACTTATCAGCGTTGAGTCTGTCTTCAATCTACTGTTTGCTTGACGGGGGCAAGCAGACTTAGGAGACAGGTTCACCTCCAATGATGGCATACGCAGAGTGTCAGTCGTGAAGGACACGAGTGTGTCACCAGGGGTCACGGGTGCCCACGAGGGGTCACATGAGATGTAGCTCGTCCGGGCGGCGCGGCGCCGAGTCTCGGTCAGCCGGTCGACTGCTGGGCGAAAGTGGATGCGCACGGAAGGGACTAAACGGCCGACCAAAGCTGTTGACAGCCCCATGCTCCGAGCGTATGCCACCGATTGACATGAAATCCTCTTTATTCGATGCCGCTTAGTCGATAACCTGTCCTTTCCAGAACGTGATGACTGGGTTGGGTCAAAGTTCAACAACAATACAAAAAAACAACGAAAAAATAGGTCTGCAGACAGACCATGCTGGGAGCATATGGCACCGATCGGCATGCAGCCTTCACCAGTCGATCCGCCATAGGCGAGAACCCATTTTATAATTTCGACTTGGCTGAAAATGGAATGCGGATCAAAGTTTAGCGTGAGTCCCACTTTCAAAAGAATCTTTCAGCCCAAGCTTGGCCGGCTCTCCTGGTCGGGTCTCGGCCCGAGTTCAATGTTTTTGTTATAGTTGTCGAATCCTATTACGATTCACCCCTAAATTAAATCGATTTACTCGAGCCCGGCCCCCCAAACAGCACAAACCCGGTATCGAGTCCGAGTTCGACCAGATTCGGACACACTCCGAGTGGTCTAGCCCTCCGGCAGTAGGAACACAGTCCGCGGCAGCGGTGGCTCACATCGGCGGGCGCCGCTCCCCTATCACCAGAGCTCCGCATCACTGGAGCCCTCAGCGGCGAGCGCCTTCCTCTATCACCAGAGCTCTGCAGCGACGAGTGCCGCTCCTCATCACTGGAGCCCACAGCGGCGAGCGCCTTCCACAATCACAAGAGCTCTGCAGCGACGGGCGCCGCTCCGCATCACTGGAGCCCTCAGCGGCGAGCGCCTTCCCCTATCACCGGGGCTCCGTAGTGGTGAGCAGCGCTCCCTATCACTGGAGCCCTCAGCGGCGAGCGCCTTCCCCTTTCACCAGAGCTCTGCAGCGACGGGCGCCGCTCCGCATCACTGGAGCCCTCAGCGGCGAGCGCCTTCCCCTATCACCAGAGCTCTGCAGCGACGGGCGCCGCTCCGCATCACTGGAGCCCTCAGCGGCGAGCGCCTTCCACTATCACCAGAGCTCTGCAGCGACGGGCGCCGCTCCGCATCACTGAAGCCCTCAGCGGCGAACGCCTTCTCCTATTACAAGAGCTCCGCAGCGACGGGCGCCGCTCCGCATCACCGGATCCCTCAGCGGCGAACGCCTTCCCCTACCACCGGGGCTCAGTAGTGGGAACAGCGCTCCCTATCACTGGAGCCCTCAGCGGCGAGCGCCTTCCACTATCACCGGGGCTCCGCAGCGACGAGCGCCGCTCCCTATCACTGGGGCCCCACAGCGGCGGGCGGCGCTCCCCATCACTGGAGCCCACAGCGGCGGACGCCGCTCCCCTTCACTTAGGCTCTACAGCGGCGGGCGGCGCTCCCCATCACCGGGGCCCCACAGCAGCGGGCGGCGCTCCCTTTCACCGGGGCCCCACAGAGGCGGGCGGCGCTCCCTATCACTGGGGCTCCGCAGTGGGGAGCCCCGTGCTGACATTCCGTCACCTGCGCTGCAGCGGGACCGCGCGTCATCGGTGGTCCGCTGTTTGCGCGCGCTATCAGCTGGCCGGCCGGACGCGCGATACGAGGCGCCGGGCCTCCGACATCGCGATACCGATTACCAGGCCGCTGACTCAGCGGCGTCGGCAGTGCGCCTCGGGCAGCGTTGCCGTCGCCGCCGTCGGAGACACGGGCCGCTCGTCGGCGATCGCTGAAGAGTAGCGGGACGACGCGTGAGAACGCACCGGCCGGGGAATCGGCCATCGCAGCGGGCGGAGACCTGCAGAGGTGAAGGACAGCGCGTGAGGTGAGCGTAAGCGAGGTGCAGTTGGCGGCGCTCCCGAGGAGAGTGTGAGGAGTTCAGGGGGCGTCTGTCTGTGTCCTCTGTGCTGTTACAGCATTCTGTCCGTCAGGTGTTACGTCCAGTGCATCCCGGGAGG